CTTGAATTTCTTTATTGGGGCTATATTGTCCAACATCTACTCCTTACCTACTCCCGACTTTGCACATGTTATGGCTTCCTCTAAGCCCCTTCTGTTTTAACTTTTAACAGAAGAGTTTCCATAACCCTGTGGTCTGGTGTCAGACTGCTTCCTTTAGAATCCTACTTTTAATATTGACTAGCTGTGTGAACTCTGGAAGGTTACTGAAGCTGATTAAGCCTCACTTTTTTTTTTTTTTATCTGTTAAAAGCAGATGATAAAAGTACTTCCTTCAAACAGTTGTTCTGAGTCTTAAGTGAAGCTAGACCACATAAAGTGATTAGTCCAAGGCTTGGCCATGGTAAGGATCTTGTAGGTGTCAGTTCTGTTTCCCTTAAGGGGGAGTATCGATTCTGGTTTGTTGTTGTTGTTGTTGTTTTTTGTTTTTTGTTTTTCAATTTCTTACATCTTTTGGACTCCAGATTCTACAAAGAATTTCAAGTATATATACACTTTACTAAGTTGACTAGATATCTTTTTGAATTTGTCCATAAAACAGAATTTTGGGGTATTCTGCATTCTTATTAACAGTGTATACTCAGAGATGCAGTCTTAGGAGTCACTGTATTGATGATAACAATAGATGTTTTCAATGTTAGTGGGCTGTTGACAGCATATAAATTGGCAGTCCATTGAAGACCTTCAGAACTTGGAGATGCTTAAAAAGAATGACATTGAGAGTCACCCCCCACCTGTCCACCAAGAAAAGGATCATGAGTATATAACAAAGGTGTTTATTTTTAGTATCAACTGTTCTTTCATTGAGCAAACACTGATGTGTTTATGAAGACACAAGAAAAGCAGACACACCCAGAGTGGTTTATTTATTTATTTTTTTAAATTTTTATTATTATGTTCAATTAGCCAACATATAGTACATTGTGAAGGTTTTTTTTGTAATTTTATTTTATTTTATTTTTATTATGTTCAGTTAGCCAACATATAGTACATCATTAGTTTTTGATGTAGAGTTCAATGATTTATTAGTTGCGTATAACATCTAGTGCTCTACACAACACGTGCCCTCCTTAATACCCATCACCCAGTTACCCCATCCCCGTACCCCCCCTCCCTTCTGTAACCCTCAGTTTGTTTCCTGGAGTCCAGAGTCTCTCATGGTTTGTCTCCCTCTCTGATTTCTTCCCATTCAGTTTTCCCTCCATTCCCCTCTGGTCCTCTGTGCTACTCCTTAAGCAGAATAGCTCATAACCTGGGTATGGAAAAGGCCATTTCCAAGGTCCACAGAGCAAACTCTCAAAATGCATTCCTAAAAAGAATAAAAGCTTTTATGGATAAGGAATGGGAGACATAGCTGGCAACCATTGTTTTCTGCAGGTATTTTCCATTTTGTGTCATTTCTAAATATTTAGTCCCCTGTGCATAGACCATCATTGAAAATACAGTACATTATTCAGAAACGAAGGTACGTACATTTACTATAAGTATTTATGTTGCTCATACTGTGCACATATGTGGTTTGCATCATCTTCAGATATGCTGGAAGGGTCTGACTGGCCTCTTTTGTGAATACCAGTCTATGGACTACATATGTGGTAACACATTTCCGGAAACTAATCTTGAGTTCCAGCTCTGGCCGAGATCTTCTCCACATTGATTGACTATGTCTGAGGAAATCAGGGCTAAGCTATGTTCTTTTTGCCTTTCGGTGATGCTGTAACATAGATTCCTGGTCAAGTAAATAGAACCCAGTCTAAAGACCATTTCAAGGAGGCAGTTAAGGAAGTGATTAATTCATTCTCCTCTTTGGTCATTGTTGACTGGCATCAGTATATTCTAGTCTTTGCTCTCTGGATATGTTGGGTGTATGAAACAAACGCATCAGAAACATGTTTGGAAGGCTAGACCACTTGAAATGTGTGTTAAGAAAATCTAAAGATCACATTCAGAATTTAGGATTCTGATTTAAGGGTCTTCTGGCCGTATTACTCATTTGCAGAAAACACCTCAGGCCCTGATTTCATTTTCTTTTGACATGTTGGCTACTTGCTATATTAGATTATCCAAATGAAAGTATCAATTGGATATTTCCCCTCCTTCCCCTCCCATGTTGGCAGATGAAAAGAAAAAAAGATGGTACAAAAATATTTAATCTGTTAAAGTCAGATTCAACAGAAGCAGAAGTGGAAGAAAGAAACATAATTGCTCCACTTTTAACACACATGTTTTCCATAGACAGCTGGTTTTCTTCAATTTTCATAATTACAATTTCAGGAAGCGTCCCTCCACTTCAGGATGGTTATCCCATTTGCGGGTTACCCATTTCCTGCGCATTTCCTTCCTCCAGCCCACCTCTTGGCCACATTAACATTACTTCATGTCACAAACGATACCACAGGTGGCCAGAACAGGTTCTGAGAAAGGGCAAATGACATGGAAACCTATCAAGTTTGCTTTGTGTTACATTAAAGTGTTTGGTGAGGAGAGGCCCACACTCTTGGCCAGAAGGAGACTTCTGGGAAACGTAGGCCTTTCGGAAATCTACACTATTTCTTTCATGAACATCTCCATTAACCAAGCATTAGCTGGCTAGATATCTCTGACGCGGTCGGAGCAGTGAGCATGATAGCAGTTGTGACCTTGGAAACGAGGTTGAGGATATGCCCTCATGCATGTGATCAGTCAGCCCAATATTTACTGGTCTTAGGTTAGACTTGGTTTAATGCATAGTCTTCCAGGGGCTTACAATCGATAAGACAAAATTCACACACAAGATTCAACAGTCAAGAGCAGTTCAGCAGAATTTATTAAGTAGGGGTTGGACTGTATAGGACAGAATGTGTGTGTGTGTGTGTGTGTGTGTGTGTGTGTGTGTGTGTGTGTGTGT